TGGATATGGTTTTAGATTAATTCATTGAGCTTGATTTTTTATTGTTTCTTACTATTTATTTATTGATTTAGATAGTAATCTTGTAGATCTAGTCTACTTTAGCTCTATTCTAGTTCATTTGATTTATAGAAGTCTAGATCTAAATTTTTCTTTCAAATTTTAGATTTTTTGGATTTGAAAATTCTATTTCGATTTGAATCCTTATTATTCATTTTGTGATTTTGATCCTTTAATTATACCTTAATTTTGTTTTGATATTTGTTTACTTATCGTTCTTGCAATTTAAAAGTTGTTTGGATCAACTTTTAAGAAGTTTCTAGATCTAATTTCATTTAAAATGTGGGAGGTAGTTAATTCGGTTATTAGTTAATTGCTTTTGGTTATCACTTGTAAGTTAGTGTTTAGTTGTTAATTGAGTTTGCTATTTTTGGTTTTTAGTTTAGATTTACATTCAAAGCATGTTAGATTCAATTTCAGGTACTTTATCTATTGTTTTGATAAAATTTTCAAGAATGCTAATTTTACATTTAGTGAACTTGCTTTTGGTTATTAGCATTACTAGTTTTTGGTTTTCTATTCTTGTTGCTACTAGCTTACTCTTGTATACTTCTATTGATTGAATCAACTTAGATTGGGTGTGGCAATAATAGGTATTTAACCAAGACCTTTTAGCTAATTCTTGTGAGATGATATCTTAACCTTCAGTCATTATTATTACTTGTATGATTTGTGCGCTTGCAAAAAATATTGCAATCAAGTTTTTAAGCTTTCTAATATCTGTATTTTAGTTTAGAATTACGTATAAAGCGTGTTAGATTTAATTCCTAGCACTCTACTGTTTTGATTTATTTATCAAGTATGTTTGCTCAATATGTTATAGATATGTTTTTTTGTTAGTTGTATGTTTTACTTTTTTTTTTTCATACTTGTTCATGCTAGCTTAAGTTTATATACTTTTTTCGAATGAATTAACTATAGAAGGAGTGTGGAGATAACAGGTATTTAGCTTGGACTTCTTAGCTAATTTTTATGGGAACGATATCTTAACTTCAGCTATTATTATTATTTGAATGATCTGTGCACTTATAGAAATCTCCAATCACCATTTTTGCATGAGGATTACATGACTATCACATGAGGATAAAAGAGCATAAGGTGCACTAGAAGACTAGGCAGCTAGTTGTTACTTGTTGTACTTATCAGTTGCTACCTCTCCAGTTGGGCATTGCCAAAAGATGTTGCCAAAAGAAGAGAGCCCCTAATCACAATTTCCTTTCCTTGTAATGCCATAAAGGTTGGGAATTGTTGTAACTATTCGATTTTCATGTTTTTTAATCATTTTGCTTTAAGATTTTATTAACCTTTTCATTCTTTTACTCTCTTACCTTGTAGCTAAATTTACACTTAAATTTGCAAACTTAATTACTTTGTTTAGCAATGAAAAATCTCTTTTTTTTTTCATTCGATTTCTAGTTTATATTTTACCTATTGTTTTTACTTCTTTCATTTGATTTTCATGGTTGGTTAGGCAAGATAATGATGCTAGAAGATTTCTATTAGGTTGAAAAATCACCTAGGAAGCACCTCTACTTGAATCAAATTTATTATTTTTAGTTTTAACTTATCTTTAGAGTTTATATGTTGTCGCATTTAAATTCTATTTTACGTTTGATTTATGCTTGCTGAATTTTTCATGCTTATTACTTTTCATGCATTTAAATACATTACAATTTAAGCTTCTAGCACTTTACGTTATTGTTCTTTAAATTTATGCAATTTTAATTTTTTTTAAATTTTATGCAACTTTAAATTCATGTAATTTATTTTCTTGTTCTTTACTTTCTACCACTTAAAATTTTTCTTGCATTTTAGTTTTCCAAGTTCTTTAAATTTACTTGCAATTTACTTTTCAAGCACTTTAATTTACATGTTCCTTAATTTATGCTATTTTAATTTCATGCCTTTAATTTCATGTTTGTATTTGCTTGTTGAAGTGCGACATGTTAAGATTGCTTGAGTTAAACATTTAAAGTTAATCTTTCAAGCTTGAGTTGGATTAATTTGTTAGGTTAATTAGTCAAACTTTAAAGTCATTTAGTTAATTAGGTTAATTACGTTGTTAAGTTTAACATCAAGCAATTTCACTTAGTTAATTTGGGTTTAGTTTAGTTGCTTAGTTTAAATGCATTTCCCAAACTTTCATTAGATATGGATATAATTAGGGTGCCCGATTTTGATAATTAGCTTAAATCAGCATCGTAATCCTAGTTAAACGATATTTAGGGTTACTTACTTTATATTATTTGTCTGACCTATATATGACCTATATACTTGCAATAGTCTCCTAACAACTACTTTCATTATATTGGATGGATTTGATCAATTTTCCAAAATTGCAATCCTTCTATTATTCAAAAAATAATTTTAAATTTTTCTTCATATGCATCTAGGTACCTTACTTCTTCAATTACCATTATAATTTCTTACGTTGTATAATGTACTTAAACTTTAATTCACTTGTCTTGTAGTTCTATATTATTTTTCATAACTTTTTTTTTAATTCATGAATCCAAATGTACTTTTTGATTGTGTTTTAGATCATGAAAATTTCGATGAAAAAAAAAAGAAATTCTTTGATTTAAGAAAAATATGGGATAAAATTTCCATTTATTTTCTTCTACTTTCTCCAAAATAAAAGTGAGAAAAACATGGTTATGGATCACACATGCAAGATTGCTTTTGAAAATTTTAGATCATAAACCTATCTATGATCCTCCAAAATTATGAACCAGTCATGCAAAGTTGTTCAAGTGTGATCTTGGGTTGACTCTAAATTTTAAAATTTTTTAAAAATATATGATTAAATAATAAACTTTTAATATATAATCATATAGAACAAATTTTCAATGTACAAATCACAAACATCACACAAGTTTATAAGAAAAAGTTTTCAAGTTTAAATATTGTAATGCAAATTTTTATTGACTTACAAGAATTAAAATTAACAAATAAATTAATAAGATACAAATAAATGATAAAAGCTAAATTATATACTAAAACAAAAATTAATTTTATCCAAATGATAGTATTTTTGATATATTTTTTGAAGTCTCTACATGCTTATAATTTACTAAAGTCATGTTTGGTATATAAGATAATTGATATGATAGTATGATAATTATTCTATATTATGTTTAGTTTGTATATAATTAAAAAGGATGGGATTACAAAGAAGATTATTATAGGGTTACAAAGAGGATTATTATCCTTTTGCTATCAGATAATTCAATCTTCTCAAAGTAGAGAGGATTATTTTTAATCCATAATATTAAACTTATATATCTTATTTTACTCTTAAAAATTATATCACTAATTTAAATTGTATAAACTTTAAAGAAGAATAATTTTGATCAATAAATAAATTATTTTATCTTAGTCTTTATACACATCAAATATAAGATATGATAACATTATTTAATCTAATTCTATTTATAATATCATTTTATTCTATTCTATTTTAATCTTGTATATCAAACATAATTTAAATACCGATCTTATAATTTAATCTTTCGATATATAAAGGATAAGTGGGTAAATTCCTAGGACCACGAATAAGGTTGGCAATGGTCAGGTCGGGACGGGTTTTTGCTTACCCCGAACTCGACCCGACCTTTTATCCATCAAATCTAAACTTGACCCGAAATTTTTTTTATTTTTTCATATCCAACCCTGACTCGACATTTGTATAAATCATACTCGACTCGAAATTAATAAAATATTATTTTTAAAAGATAAATATTAAATATATAAATATATAAATATATAAATAAATAATTAAATAAATAATTTTTAGATAAATATCAGGTCGGGTTTGTTTAAAACCCGAACTCGACCCGACCTCGACTTTTTCTTAGCAATATCTGACCAAAAATTCGATTTTCAAAAAAAAAAAATCAACTATAAGGGGTCGAGTTAGGTCGAAATCCATCGGAGACGGATTGAATTGCCAACTCTAACCACGAACAATCATAATAATGTCGATCATAAAAATTTGGGCCATGAATCGTCCATAAAGTCTCATGACTAACCTAAAATCAATCCACACCCATGGTCCAAGATGATACTTGGATGAGTCGAAATTGTTCTCACTCATATCTCTACAAGTGAACAAGGAAGAGCCTATTGAGTCAACAATAATAGAAGCCACTATTGAAATTGGCTCCGTAAACATATTATTATGATATATTTTATTATTAAAATGGTAAATAATTATTTTTATATTAATATTTATAAAATTATGTTAAAGTTAAAAAATAAATACATAAAGTATTACTTATTAATAACATATATTATTTTAACTTGATTCAAGCATAACTAGAAATTTGAGATCAAACTCAACTAGAATTGAGTTGAGCTTATAGGTTTGGATGGGTCTTCAACTTTGAGACACCTCTATTATCTTTTTGTGACATTGTCACTTTAGTATCAGTCTTTTTTTTTAATAAAAGGATAAAGAGAAGAAATTTTGTATGAATTAAGATAAAAAAATATTAGGTTTTTCTAATAAAAGTGTTTGTGCGTCAGACAAACCTAATTGATCTTTAGAATTAGAGAACATTTTAATATATTTTAACATCACTATAAAAGACAAGCTTACAGTTATGAAATATTATTGATGAAAGTTTTTTGTTGCTAAAAATGATCAATACTGACAGATTTTTAATCAATTTTCAATGAATTTTAATACATAAGATTTTATTACCAATAAAACTAACAACGAAATTCCATAACTAAAGCAAAAACATTATTCACGGAATTAAATTTCGTCATCAATTCCATTGATAATTGTTCATGTCAAAAGAATTAGAATAATGCCAATATTATCGATGAAATTTCGTCCACGGATTTAACCATGAAAATTTTTCATAGTTAAAGCATTATTTTTTTCTTTAAAAAAAATTTTATAATTTATTTTAAGAGAAAAAACCAATAGCTTTTAAATAACTTTTAAATATATTTTTTTCTCAACCTCTATCCATCTTTTCCCTTGTTTCTCCCCGACCCTTCCCTTTTCCTCCGCAAACCCGACTATCCGGACAACTCTGGCCCCTCGCTGCCCCTACCGACCCCCAAAAAGACTCTCAGTAGCCGTCCGGACCGTATCCGACCTAGATCTAGCCCCACACCGCCCCCTCTCCATTCGTTCCAAACCACCCTCACCCTCATTTCCTAGCGCGCCGCTTGACCCCCTTGCGGCTTGACCAGATCCAACAAGACGTCCCTGCATCCCCCCACCCCACGCACGTGCCCCCACTGTTTCCCCACGAGATCCGCGCGTCCCCTGTCCTGTGCATTCACGCTCCTTCCGCGCAAGCCCCTGAATAGGTAAGGGTGAATCAACCTGGAGAACTTGATTCTGATGCACTTATGTGTAAAATTATCATCCAAACTGTAAAAGAATTTTCGTTTTCGTGAGAAAATATTTAAAAGGTGAATGGAGTCTTTAAAGTTTAAATGACAATGAATATTGTCTGGTAGTAGATGGAGATTCATCACAGCAAAAGCTTCCTCAAATGGTCGTCAACAGGTGAAAGAAATTATTTTTTCTTGTGAATGTTGTTTTAAAATTTTGTTTTTAAAGTTTGGTTTGATCTTTGTTTCGCTCTTTTGTGCATTTAGTTAATCAGCCTTCTTTTAAATGCTTTTTTGGATGACAATTGACGGATGGGAGTTTTGGTTCAATCGAGAATAATTCATAACCTGAAAGGAAGCCAAAGCCAATCCCTCCTCCTCGAAAAGATCCTCCACCTAGACCTACTTACTCAACTCTTCCACAAAGTTTTCAGGTATTAGTGCATAACAAATTGTAAGTTTTCTGTCTTGTGGATCTGGCTTGGCACGGTAATGTGCATCCAGTTTTCTTGAACATGCTTTATTGGTTTATATTGCTAATCATGCTTTATTATGTAGTTCATTTGACTGAAATTTTCTTAAACATTTACATTTATGCATCTTTTGCAAAGAAAAAATTACAACGGAAAAGTCAAATCAATTTGAGATATTTATTATTGTAGGTTTCGTTTGTTTGGATAACAGTGATTACGTTGCTAGTATTTTATAGTATTTGTTTTGGATTTGGAGGAAATCTTGGTTCTGTTATTTGATGTTAAATTTTTATGTTATATGTCCTTATGACTTAGCCTAACAATGAATATGATTCTGCCACTGCTGTCTAGAATCTATATTGCATCCTTGTGCAAGTATCAATGATGTTTAGAACCTGTATTTACAGGGCAATCCATAGCCAAGTGAAAATCTTGCATAATCTTCCATTTACCGTATCTTATTGAGGTAATAGAAAATCTGAACTTCTCTTTTATTCTCCATGAATGTTACTCTAGCAAAGGTTTCTATTTGGTTCGTTGTTTTGGATTTGGATATGCTAACTTTATGTGTTATAGACTATTGTGTGATTGAACTATCTTAGAGTTGATTTTTTGATTAATAGATAGCACAAATATTGGGAATAGCATAATTTCCTACACTTGGCCGCATCATGAATAGTTTGTATAATTATTGTTATACTTGCTGCTATACCTAGGCTAAATACCTGCTAAAATTTTGGTCCTTATTATCTCACTCTACAATTGTTTCAACACACTTTCTTTTTGAACAGGTCAAAATTACTTTTCAAAGATTCTATACTTGCTTCCAGAATTATGTCTTAATAGTCAAAATATACAATTAAATTATGAACAATAACCGATGATTCAATAAAACTCAATGTTTTGATCTTTCCTATAGGATTTTAAAGCTCTTGGACCAGTAAGGCTATAATCAAGATTGGAGGCACTATTGCTAGGGAAAGGATCTCTAAGAAATGGGGATTCTCCACAATTCCATTCTACAAAGGTACCTTTCTTCCATCTTAAAAGCATGCAACTAGCATTTGCTACACCGATAAGTGTTAAACAAAATTTGCGTTATGATTTCTATATACGCATAATATGTATGCTTATTTGGTATATTTTTACGTGAATGATTTTTTTTTTTTGTTTTTGCAAACATTGTCATGATGAAGTTAGGACTTGATAATAAATAATGTATTAATTGGGTAATACAAGAAAGATAGGCTATGAGAGGACATTATTACCGCATGACTTTGATGAGTACACTTAGCTAAGGATGATCAATAAATATGTAAACTAAAGGTAAGTAAGCTTGACAAATTAGGTTTTCTTGTTTAACTAATTTTTGGTTGCTAGATTGGTCAACATAGGTTTTGGCTAGTAAAGTAATGCTTACGGATGAGAAACCTTGGAGATTTTAATGCCAAATGTTGGTATCCCAAAAGGAGTTAATGAAATTTATAATTTATTTATTTTTTGTATTTATCTTAATATCTTTCGCCAAAAATAATATAAAATAACAAAATTAATTGATGATAATTATTTAGTATTTTTTACAAAATTCTAACATTTTCGATGAAATTTTTCATCGGTAATGCTCAGTACTGATGGAATTTAGATGTTATCTTTTTGAAAACATAATAAAAGACACATTATCGATGAAAATTTTATTGATAATGCACGTTAGTGATGCTATATTTTAAGAAATAAGGAAACCCCCATCAGCAATGAAAATTTTGTTAATGAGGAATAGTGACAAAATTTTAGATTTAATTTCTTGATAATATTTTTAAGGGTAAATAGCTTCAGTGAGGTAAACTATGGTAAAATCGAAAGAATCTTTTGTCTTTAATACTCATTATTACTACGAAATATATTTTTAGCAACAGAAAACTATTAGCGGCTTTAATGTTTTCAATGGATTTTAGTGACAGTTTTCATCGCTAGAAATAATTTCCAATAGAATAGAAGGTATTATTGACGGAATATTTCGTTGGTAATACCTTGTTTTCTTGTAGTGTATGCTTAAAAATTTTTAGAAATATTAAAATATTAATTTTTTTAAATATATCCTAAAACTAAAATTAATTAAAAAATTATTTTTAGTAATTACAAATTTTTTCAGGCCAAACCAAGATCTGACATCAAAAACCTTGTCCAAGGTCTAAATTTGTGCTGGGTGGGTAGTTCTGCCCATGGACAAAACAATTTTTTTAATACAAAATCTAATACGTATGTGTTTTTGTTAGATTTTGGTATAACTAAAAATAACAATTTTATTTTTTGTGAATAATTAAAATGTATTAATAACTTTATTTTTGTTATGAAAAATAAATAATAAGGTAATACCCAAATATGCCTTTAATTTTTAATAAAAAATAAAAATAAAACTTTGATATTTTATCTTATGAAATTAAGCTTATGAGACTTTCATTTTATTATAAAAGTAAATAGCATGTTTGGTCTTTAAATTTTGGGTCTAATTTTATATTGATTTTTAAACTTTAAAAAGTTTTACTTGAGTTTTCAATTGCCTAAATGTGTATTAATATAGTTTTTTCATTCGCTGAACCATCTAAAATGATGAAAAATCCAGTGTGGCATGACACAAATCCAACTTGGCATGATATATATCCTTACAAAATTGTATTATGTGTAAGGTTAATATTCTGTCCTTGATTTTAAGTAAAATAATTCTTGGTTAAGGAAAGAATCAAACAATTGAAAAGACAAACAACAAGCAATCAAAGACAAAAGCAATTAAGCATGCATCAAGCAATACATAGGGAAAGTAATTTGGAGATAAGACATTCAAGCAATTTAGCAGTAAATTCAATTAGCCTCCACACAAAAAATCCATCAAATCCATACCTAGATACCTACTAAAAATCACCAATAAAAAACCATCCCCACAATCTCCAATTTAGCAAAAACCCACAACACAAACAAGCAAACCTAAAATCATCCATACTCAATCCACAAGTAACTACACTTGGTTTAGAAAAGTTATATTTTCTTTTTCCTTTTTTTCTCAAATTTTGCTAATTTGACAAATACAATAATCATAATGTTGCAAATGTCATGTTCTAAAAATGATATGAATACAAATATACACTACTTAATGTACAGTTGCAAATGCTTGATAACCAAAATGATATAAACATAAATGTTCATTACAAAGATGCAAATACTCCATAAAAATGATGCAAATATAAAAAAATCCAAAAAAAAAAACTCTATGAAAATAAAGTTTTTGCAAAAAAATCATGTCAAAAGCACAATCCATTTTGGTAACTCTTAATTTCTTGCAAAATTGATATTTTAGCAAATGTCAAAGAGTAACCGTGATAGTCTTAAAATTTTAGGAAGGAAAAGAGGTTCAAATTTTAGAATAAATTTTTTATTTTCTTGGGTTTATGAAAGGTTTCCAATATTTATTGGTTCATTCAAAATACGTCTTGTTTCTTGTCACAACCTTAGCCTAATCATGCATATAATGTCTTGAGTTGTATTAAATGTTCTAATTCTTTTTTCTAAATAGCCATTTTGGGTTTTCACCCTAAAGTTTAGTTTTTCTTTTTTCATTTTTGATTAATTGTTCCACCATGCAATCCAAAACTCCAAATTCTTACAAAACCAAATGATGATGATGATTTCCTAAGGAAAATACTATTCAATACAAGTATCCACAATTGATCAAAATGGACTTGAAAAGGCACAATGTAGGCCATGGTTTAGAGTTTCGAGAAAATGGATATATAGACCCAAATGATGTATTAAGAGATAATCAAACCAAGAATAATTTCTTTTCATAAGGACATTTATATTTTCCATTTCTTAAATCATGCTTTTCCATATTTTTCCTTTTTTCATTTCTTCCTTTTTTTTTCTTCATGTATTAACTTTTGACAAATTGTGTTCAAAATTTTTGAAACTCAACTTCAAACTTACCGCTTGATATAAGGCATTATTTGGTCAAATTATCCCGTCAATCGTTGTATTTAAATGAAATTTGAGATTTACTTTGTTGCCTAATTAAAAAAAATGTAGTTCTCAAATTAAATTGATTTGATAATCTTAATCCAATCACTAATTATTACATTTTTTTTATTAAAAATGCTAATATGGTCATTGACTTGTTGACGTGGCATTGATTTTGATGACATGAAAAATTGAATGGTTGATATTAATCTATTTTTTGATTATATGGTATTTATTATGCCATGTGGCTTTTTAATCCGATAATAATTGCTCGAGAATACAAAAAAAATAGCAAAATTATGTTTATCTTCTTTTTTAACAACTATGTTATCTTTTTTCTCTTTGCAAAACAACCTAACTACTCTTTCTAAATCCTTTTAGAGGTAGCAATGCTGTCCTTAAACTCTTTAGCCAACGGCATTGTCATCAAACTTGGACCTGCTAGCAACTAATTATTTTTTCTTTTTCTTCTTTCTTTTGCTCTTTTTTTCTTACTGAAGGACTATATCGTCATTACCTACAACCTTTATAGCCGTTAAATTCCTCAAAAGCTTCGTGAAGATCAAGTATCCATTTTCACCTTTAGATGGTTCAAAAACCCCAAAAAGAAAACATAAAATCACTTTTTTTTGTTCATATTTTATTGATGAATTTTTTATGCCGATGATTATGTTGTTGAGAAGATTATGTAGTGAATCTGTGTTGTGTTGGTGTGGTAGTGGGTTTATATAAAAGTTTTTGCCAATAATTTATAGGGTTTGAACTAATGAGTAGATCATATTTATTTTTTCCATTTGTTTTTTGGTTTTCTTTCCTGAGTGTTTGATTTTGGTTACTTGATCATGGGTTTTTTCCTATGTCTTTTTCTTTTCTTTTTTTTTTTTCAAATTTGATTTTTCGGCTTGACTTTGGATTCTTAAGTTTACCTTTTTTTTTTTTCCACAAATGGTTTTATTTCTTTTCATTTTTTTGAAATTTTTTATATTTTATATTTTGAATTTTTTGAAACTTTCTTATTTTTTATTTGATTTTGGAAGAAGATAAGGATTTTTGTTATGAGAATATGCAAGAAGATTAGTAGATTTTTGTTTTGAATAATAGGTAAAATTTTTTCGCAATTATTATTTATTTTTTTTTCGTCCATTGATTTTTTTTTCATATAAAATATGCATGATCATTTTAAACAACAAATATATATTTTCAATTTAATTTCCACATTGTAAGATTAAGGTTAGCAGATACAGATTTTAGATTTGGGATTTGTTTCATTTTTTCCATTTCTAGTTTTTTTTTTCCAGTTATTAATGTTTATTTAACAAATTAAAATTTAAATTAATGATTTTACAAAAAGAATAATTTTTTTAAAATATGATGTGGATCGAAATATATAGCCACATGGCATGTAATTTAATCTACATTATCATTAGTTACAATATTAACCAACCAAAATGTCACATAAGTAAAGTCGATAGCCATATCCTTAATTCAAAGGCTATAGTATTTTTAATAGCAAAAATTTAACAAAGTTAGTGATCGAACCAAGATTGTTAAATCAAAATAGAATAAGGATTATATTTGTATGAATTACAAAAGAGGGAGTAATTTTCAAATTTCGCTTAAGGTTAGGGATTTTTGTTATAATTTGACTACATTCTTTCTTTATCTTAACATAATCTAATATGTTCTTGAAAAGATCCTCATTTGAACTTATCCCTAGAATGGAGGGTGATCCTTGAGTATCATTTAGAAATAATTTAAAAGGCTTAAAATGTAAGATTTGACCACATTTGTCACACAAATATACATTCAAAAACTTGAATAAACGTAGCGGATATAAACAAAAAAAATTGAATCCATATATAGGATCAATTTGTTGTTACATCTCAATTGGCAAGTACATAAGATTTGCAAACATGATTCTTATTCCTACCTCTAGCATTGGATTGAATGAAATCCCAAAGCTCAACATTCTTTGTTGGTATTTTGTACAATAAGGTCCAGTTGTAGCAAACTAAAGTCGTT